CCCTCCTGGGGGTTTGTTGTGGGGCAAGGAGTGAGGTCATCTTTTCCCTTTTCCTTCCCTTCTTTAGATTCTGAAGTTATATGTCATAGTTGAAATCCCTTTCTTGCGGAAGCGGCAGCAAGGAATTACTTAACAAGGTCTAAGACACATATAAGCCAACATGCAACTCTCCAGAAAAATGCTTTATGACCTCTTTGGGGTCCCAATCTCCAGGCTGAGATCCTTATGGCAATGATCCTAAAAGCAGACTACAATTTATACATGTTCATACTGACATGAGACTGACTAAAGAATGTGGTTAGATTGGCCATTTTCTCTACCCACAAGGCAAGTGGTGGTTGCAATAATTGGTGGCTGCAAGAATTATTTGTGGAAATGGTAGTTGCAATAAGAATTTATTCTTGAGGAAGTTGGACTTAACGATTGTTGGTTCAACAAGTAAAGCCAGAAAGATGTTAGTGGGAATCAGACAGAAATAAAGCCACCTTTCTTATTTTCATCAGTGATTTCAGTGAAATTTCTTTCCTTCATCTAGTTACAAAGAAAATTCTTCAAGTTTCTTATAAAACTTTTGTCAATGTGCCACAAATCAAGCTTTTGCATTTCTGGCATGAGTCTGCTGAACTGGAGTGCAAATGGTCAATGGAAAATTGTCTGATTTAGTCGAATCAGAGAGCCCTCCACTTTCTGTTCAGATATGGCATGTTTTATTGCCTGTAACACTTATGGGAGCATGTTTGCCATCTAGGAATTCATTGGGGCTTAATCTGGTTCTACATTAAAGCTCTGTTTTCACTTATTTCTTCTGGCAATAAATGCTAAATGTTGGTGAGCAACACAATGGGACTTTTTTTTCCAACTGTAGACTCAGAGGATGATTACACGGGTGTTTTGCCCACTGCAGAAACAGTCTGACTTACTCTTAAAGACAGTGATCAGACATCTTTGCTAGACTGAACCAGAAAGCCCTCGGAGTGGTCCTATCTGTACCTTTCTGAGCCCCTATCAGGGTTTTTTGCTTTTTAGATGCAGGTGGGATTGCCTGATTTGGCTGTGGGCTCTCAGCTGGACCTTTAAGAGAAAAGCAAACAAAGCTTCTAGGTGGTACCTTTCAATTTGTCCTTTGTTTTTTTTAAAGCGGTGCAACAAATATTAATTGCCCTAATACAAACTTTAAAAAATTCCCACTTCCTTCGCTCCTCCACACAGCTGAGGAAGTGATTAATTTGCCAACATCCTAAAACGGCTGCAAGCTACTTCATGATTCTGCATCTGCAAAGGCTGAAGACCAAATAGGGTTGGCTTGGGGTCTGTGTGTCATTTAGATGCAAGAATCACACCAAATGGCATATCAGACCTTTGAGCAGCCCTATATAGTTGGATCCTGTTGGCTCCTTTCACACCATGTAGACAACCCTTAGCGTACTTTCAGCAGTTAGGACAAAAAAAATATAAGAAGTTGCTGTACATTTTTTTAAAATTTAGATTTAGGCATCCTTCAGTCTTGAGAGACTATGGTAACATGCTCTGAATGGAGGACTTGGAACAGCGTCTAGTGTGGCCGAGAAGGCCAATTCAAGAGTGGCAATCCCTTCTACACTGAAATACAATATGTCCCCTGTCCAGCTCCCTGATTCTGCTGATTTTGGGATTGCCTCTTTGCCTCATTCTGCTGGACAAGGCAACGACTGCCTCCAGGCTGAACACTCAGATGTCAAGGTTTCACATCTGTTGAGGTCCATTCCTAAGGCCTTCAGATCCTGTTTACAGATATCCTTGTATCGCAGCTGTGGTCTCCCTCTGGGGTGATTTCCCTGCACTAACTCTCCATACAGGAAATCTTTTGGAATCTGACTATCAGCCATACTCACAACATGCCCAAGCCAATATAGATATCGCTGTTTCAGTAATGTAGACATCTAAAAATTCCAGCACAAACTAGGACTACTCTATTTGGAACTTTGTCCTGCCAGGTGATACCAAAAATGCCTCGGAGACAATGCATATGGAACGTGTTCAGCTTCCTCTCCTGCCATGCACAAAGAGTCCAGGACTCACTGCAGTACAGGAGAGTGCTCCGGACACAGGCTCTTAGACCTGGATCTTGGTATATGCCATCAGCTTCTTATTGAGCCATACTCTCTTGGTGAGTCTAGATAACATGGTAGCTGCTTTGCTAATGCATTTCTCCAGCTCGACATATAGGGAGAGAGTGTTTTCTGCTAATTGACTAAACGATTACTAATTTATGCCATGTGATAATTAAATTGGTAAATGTAGCTAAAGGTAAAGGTAAAGGTTCCCCTTGAAAAATTGTCCAGTTGTGTCCGACTCTAGAGGGCGGTGCTCATCTCCGTTTCCAACCCATAGAGCTAGCGTTTGACCAAAGACAATCTTCTGTGGTCACGTGGCCAGCGTGACTAGACAAGGAAAGCTGTTACCTTCCCACTGTCATGGTACCTATTTATGTACTCGCATTTTGCATTTTTGTATGCTTTCGAACTACTAGGTTGGTGGGAGCTGGGACAAGTGACGGGGGCTCACTCTGTTGTGTGGATTCGATCTTATGACTGCAAGTCTTCTGACCTTGCAGCACAGAGGCTTCTGCGGTTTAACTCGCAGCGCCACCACGTCCTTTTTTAAATGTAGCTAGTTGAGATGAAATATTTCATTCAACCAGTTCGATGTATACAATGAAAAAGAGAAATAATAGCTTGTTCATGCCATCCTAACCTGGCTTAGTTCTACTTTTTAGAACTAAACTCCAGGAGAATTTATGTGTAGAAGCAGATCACACACAAGCTGGCTCTCTTCATGTGACTCAGGCTATGGTTTACTCTTGTTTAGGGAAAGCTTTGTTGGGGACAAGTACTCCATTGGCATAAAAATACTGTTAAAAGAGGTGTGAAAGTATGAGTCACATGAACTATTAAGTGAATGAACACACTTGTAACAACACAATCAAAGGAAGAACCATGCTAGTCCACTAGAACAAAGTCAAGAGTCTCATACCATCTTAAAGAGAGTAGCAATAGTTATTCTCTTTAATGCAGGGTCCACTTGGGCCTCAAGAATTGTCCCTAGACATTGCAGTTTCCAGGTCAAATTCGGTTCCATATACAGTATCTCTTATTTCTCTCCCTACCATATGTCTTCCTCCTTCTTTGCTTGTAAGTTTGTATCCTTCTTTCTTCATCATCTCATACCACCCTGGTTTGTCTCTCCTTACTTTCCATGCAACTATTAGACTTGTCATTCTACAAAATACCTTTATGTAATTTCTCCCTTTTTACTCAGAAATATCCCTCCAGGCTTTCAATTTCTCTCCATCCCACTGAGTGTCATGTTATGTCAAGCCTTACCTCTTTTTCCAAGTTCCCTATTTCCGACAATCCCGTGCCTCAGGGCTTTAACAAGTCTAGGGCTTTGTCCCAGGGCACCAAAATCAAGGGGTGGATTTACTGGTGGGTGTTTTGAAAATAAAGGGCAGTATCTCCTGGCTTTATTAGCTTTCTCTTTTTTTGTTAAACTTTTTATTTTATTCAGGAGGGGGAAGGAAAAGCATATTTTCCTGTACTTTCTTCATGGGGGCTCACAGCAGAGTGAGTGGGAGATGCTGCCACTTGCCGTGGTTGCCAATATAGCTAAGTTATGACCCCCATCAAGTTTCCCTCAATGTCCATGCTGTACTGTATTTCATTCCAGCAAAGGTACATTGTCCAGGTCCTTATTGTTCATCACAAAGACCCCTCAAAAACTCCCCAGCATCTTTTACCTCCACCTCCTGCCACCTCAACCTCATGCAACGGATTCACATATATATATGCAACACATTTAACCACAACCTTAATAGTGTGTGTGTGTAAAATACACATATATATACATACATATACACATATGTATTGCATGTTTGTACATTATCAATTTTGTTGGAATGCACTCTGGTGTATAGTGCAAGATAAGTAGTAATAATAACTATTATTACTATTATTAACCCTTCTCTTTCCCGTTGTCTCTTTCTACTTTTTTTCCTGCTGTTTTTAATTTTTCACCTCAGGTCCCCCTGCCCCCTTTTCTGGGCTATTTTAACACAAGCCTGTAAATATTTGATGCATGTTGAAAGAAAGAAAGAAAGAAAGTGTAGACTTAAAAACAAGTATCATTGATGCCGCTTGTCAGGACGAGCCAAGGCACCTCCAGGAGTTAATTGGGGGGGGGGAGATTTAGGATAGGCGGCAGCCTCCCCCCCCGCCCCGTCCCAGGTCTTTCAACGGGGAGGGCTGAATGGGGGGGGGAAAGTCGGTCAGCGTGAGAGAGGTTGTGTGAATGTGACTCTGGGTGAGTGTGAAGAGGTGTGTGTGTATTACTCGCTCGCCTCAGGCACCCGAACGAAGTCCCCCCTCAGACACGGGCCAGCCCCTCCTCCACGCCCTCCATTCAACCACCATATTCCACCTTGAGGCGTCGCCCCCCCCCACTCTTCTCCCCCCCCCCTTAACGCCATCTTTCCCGCCCCCCCCCCCCA